TCCCCACCGCAATCCTGTGGGACACTCCATGAGCCCCACCATCACAGTACTCATGAGCTGCCTGCTACCTAGATCTATGTAGAAAAAAACATTTAAAACTGTGTCTATGTCCAAATCACTGAGTCTTTCCAAATCTCTCCAAATCGATTCGGAGGGCTCTGATTCAATTCAGAGAAATTAAAGGATCCTTTGATCCGATTCAGATTCAGAGATTTGGCCACTGAATCAGGCCGAATCTCTGCCGAATCAAATCAGGGACCGAAGCTTTGTCCAGCCCTAGCGGCTATGTCTGACAACTGCTTTAGGAATGAGAAAAAATTCCCTTATTGTCAAAACCCAAATACCTCCCTCCCTCCCTCTCTCCCTCTGAGTCTTGGAAAGAGACACATGTGATGGACAGATCCCCACATAGGAACTGTTATCCCAGCTGCTCAGCTCTTGTGGCTGGGTAACTCTTGGGTTCCATACCAGGATAGGCTAGCAAGCCACACAACATCCCTCTGATGCAGTCTGTGAATGAGGTCCAATGGGTGCTGGATGATTCTTACAGTATAGGCCCTCACTGTATTGACCACTCAGAGCAACTCCCAACCCTCCTCTCACAATCATGGGCCCATCCCTGCCCTGGACCTGCCCCCCCCCCCCCCAAATCTTGCAAGCTAAGCAAAACCTCCCCTTGTTTGAAGCCTCTACATCTGTGTATGGAAGGCCAGCCTGTGGCAATTGGAATGGTGAACACCTGCTAAGTAAATGTAAGATCTGCATATGAGGCACTGGCAAAATGAAGAAGAGACATTACAAGCTTTGGTCACAGCCTCTGAGCTTAGGTTGTATACCACAGGCTGTTGTCACCAGGGGCTGTGAGACAGGCAGGAGGAACAAATTTGGCTATGTATAGGGGAAATGGACAGGCCGGGGGTGCTTACACCTGGGCTGCCAAGTCAAATGACCAGGGGCTCCAGATGGCCACCCACAGTTTGGAGGTGAGAGTCACAGTGCCAGGATAAGGAGTTAATGCACATGGTCCTGGACTGCTGCTGGTTGCCCCATAGGTGCAGGGCCCCCAAGCAGGACCAGGCTAGTCCCAAAGGGGTGCAGAAGTGCTCAGAATAGGTGGGAGAGTGCAGCCCACCAGTCCTCCAGGCCAGGTGGTTGCTGGGGAGGCTTTTAGCAACAGAGTTTGGTGGCTCCAACTCATCCACCCCCCCCCCCATGCCAGGAGACCCCCAGGGGGGAGCTCTTCCACTCCTAGTGGCCCCGCTCCTCACCCATGTACCACAGCTGGGAAGTGGTACAGCCTTGTCAGGGACAGGAACCTCCTATGTTTCTGTTAGCTGCCTGACATGAGCCCAAGGTGTTGGTGAGGGCTGCGAGTCAGCGGTCCTTGAAGGGGAAGACATGGCCTTCGGGGCTGAGGGGCCAGGGGTCCCATGTGGGTGGGCCAGCAGTTTTCAGCAGCCGCTGTGGTGATGACTTCTGGCCCTCAGAAATCTCAGACAGACTTTGGGTCCAGGATCATGCAGCTGTCCAGGTCTTTCACAGAGAAATCCCTGGTTTTTACTCCAGAGGCCTGAAAGTAGAGTTCCAGGTCAAAAGCCCCCTACCCTATTGTTCCTAACCAAGGTTTCATGTTTGCTGAGTTCAAACCTTGTGGTGTCCCCCCCTGACCCAAAACTCCATTCTAGGTTTTGTCACCCCTTTCTCACCCTGTCAAACTGCACCCCACCCCTCACTGCTGCCAAAGGTTTTTTGTTTTGTGTGAATTGGGAGGATGGGCAAGGCTAAGACACAGGCAATGTTCAACAGTGTTTATTAAACACGTTAAAGTTTGGCAAGAACAACATTGAAAACTGAGGCATGTCTCTTCCTCACAGCTCCATTCCCCCACATCCTGGTATGTGCCCCCAGGGGAATTTGGGGAGGGATAGGAGAAGTCCCCAGACAGCCTGGGTTGTGGGCAGCACTGCCCGTGATGCAGGGCAGGGGATCCTGTGGCAGGAGACCCATGGCCTGGTGCCAGGGTGGGGACACTAGATACCCTATGGCCCTACTCATCTGTGGAGGGCTCCTGGTCCATGAAGGTGAGGAGGCAGTTGCCAGGGCTTCATGGATCCAGACAGGTGGCCACTATGTGGGGACAGGGCCACACACACTACAGGGGGCTCACCCTGTCCCCCATGCCTGCACTGCATGTGCTTGTAGTGCCAGATTCAGTCTGTAGTTGAAGTGCAGCAGTCCAGCTGCCCCCATAGGGCTTCATGAGCTGGGGCAGGAGGGGTAGGTCAGCCCTCTGACAAGGATTGTGGGGGTGATGACATTGCAGATGATGAAAATGGAGACCCTGGGAGCATAGCTCCCCACTCTCCAACATCCCAGAGAATGGGGAGCTGCACAGGAGTTGGGCATCATCTTTGTTGGCTGTGTGGAAGTCAATGATCCAGTGCCTGGGTTCTGTGTGTGTATGTGTGTCACACACACACACACACAGAGACCCAGGTGTCTAAGACACACACACTTGCCAGGCACAGGGTGTGCAGAGTGGGCATGCGGGTGGCTAATGGTCATGAAGGCACATGCCATGACGAGCATTGCTTCAGCTGGGTATCCATGATGTCCCTGCTGGTCAATTAGGGGTGGCTCAGCCATTTGGCTCTGCTTGGAAATCTTTGGCAGCCTGGGGAGCTTTGGGTCAAGTGCCCCTGCTGCCATTTTGAAGCACAGAGACCCGGATACATGAGATGCAGGTGGCTGCTGGAGTGCAGTAATTGCCATGCTCCAACAGACTCGATAAATCATGTCTTCTCTTTTGCGCTGTCATTACAGTGTCAGAATAGCCTTTATGCTCATGTACAGGCAACTTTTGCTGCAAGGATGTAAGTCACAACAGTGGCATATTTGTTGGAAACAGAACATTTGAACATCTTGTTTTGCTCTTAATATACAGCATAATGCCAATTTAATTTAATTTCTACAAAGACCTCAGTACTGCCCTTCAATTATGAAGAGCTGGGAGATATTTTACCTTAAATTAAGGTAATCTAGACTTTATCTTCTGTTTCTTCAGATTAGTGGAATATTTGGCAGATTCTAAGATTTGGAGAAGCAAATTATACCTAATGCTGTAATACTTTATGGCCATTCCCTCCCTCCTTCTTGCCAGATTATGCTCCAATTTCAGCAATGGAATAAAATATTGTAGGCTTCAAGGTCCCAATCTAGCAACATATATAAGTATGTGGTTAATTTTAAGCATGAGAGCATGAGTAGTGCAATTATTAAAACATTACAGTGATGTTTACTTGTCAAATAATGTCTTTGACTGAAAGTCTTATTAGTCCCTGAGTACCTTAACATTGAAAATATATTTGTGAACATTTGCTAATCAAACTGTGTCCCTAGGTATTTTGGTACTTATGTAGTCCTCATTATGGTACTACTTCAGTATAACTGCTTCTGTCGGTAGGAAGGTACTACTGTCCCATTTTGAAGACTAGGGACTTGAGAGAAATTAGGGGCTGGATCCAAAAAATGACCTTGGTTTAATTTAAGTTACACTCATTGAATGCATCTACACAAGACATTTACTGCACAGTAGACTAATCAGCTATGCAGTAAATGTTGTGCGTCTACGTGTGTGCCTCTATTAGGCTGGAGTAAACTAATTTACTCTGCAGCAGGATACTATTTTTAAATACAACTACTATCCTGCTGCAGGGTAAAAAATTCCACCACAGCACATGCGTAGACACTACCCCAGCTGGCTGGGGCACAAGAGTGCTTCAGTACGGGGGCTGCCTGAGAGCTAGTCCTAAACTGAAGCACCCTCATGTCCCAGCGAACCCCTCTGAAGCACACAAGAGCTTCTGTGGCCAGAGGTGATCTTTTCTAAGCATTCTCAGAAGAAAATATCAAGTTGCACATGGGAAGTATGATGCACCATCCACATAAATGGTTCTAAATACCATCAACACTCTTAATTTTAACCATATGCTGCTTCCCTGCCTAAAAGGGAAGCTGAACCCTAGTCTATATGTCTGACTCCTGGCCACCAGGGAAGCACTCCTTTTGCAATCCTCTGCTATTTAAGTGCCTGACATAAAGGCATCATCACATGTAAGTTTTTTGGTTGTTTGTTTGTTTTTTTGCATTGTATCCTAAATGACTCAGCCACATTCACATAGGAATCTGTGGCTAGTGGAATAGTTGAGCACAGGTTTCCTAAATTTTCAGCTAACACCCAAACCACTAAATTATGGAGCATGGCAATTCATTAACAGAGAATCCGGAAAATGTATTCACCTTCTCCTTGTTAAACTTTCATATGCAGATGTGGAGATTATGATAAATTTGTACTCCTCACAGCACTGCTCTAATTTCCACTTTGTTGCATGAAGTGGGGGATAGAAATAGACCATTTATTCACACAGTGCCAGGGCCATGCAACTCACTGCTGTTCAAAAGATCTGCAAGTAGTGGTCTTTGTGTCATTTTTTTTTAAACAAATGTTAAGGTTCCTTCATATTTACCTTAGAAGGGGATCATCAATTGAAAGAGAACAAAATAAGACATTTTTTTAAAGTACTAAATTCGATACAGACACTTTTAATGTTTGAAAAGGGAAATCAAGTGTGGTTTTGTCAGTTTTAACCTTTAACAAGAGATATCCATATTTTCTTATCAAAATTTGGTAGATGACTGGATATGCTGTAGGTTGTATGGGCTAAAACATTTGGAAAACTGTAAACAGCTGCCAATAGAGCCGAGTACGCTTCAGCTTCAGTAAGTACTAATGCTCAGCTGCACACACTGCAACACTTTTTTGAATTGGAAATTACATTGCAAGTATCCCAAACTGGAAGTTACTGGTAAGATGTCAAGTCTTTTCTCTTTTGGGCCAGATAGGAAATGGTGCTACAACCTGTCCAAAGTTATGTTAAGTTTTTCCCAAATACCATAAAATGCTTTAGTTGGGATAGACTAAAGCTAGCCAAACTTATTTGCCCATTGTTTCTCAACTATTTTATTACTTTGTTGAAAATAAGTTTTAACAACATACAATTTAATGACAGATAAAAAGGAAGAAATACATATATCAGCTCAGAAGACAATCTTGGCTGAAATAGGATGTTAGGTAGGAAAATTACAAATATCTGGTCAACGAATTTTGATTGTCAGATCCAGAATTCAAACGGTCCTGTAGATGTTTCTTTTCATTCATCCTGAAGTACCTGCCAATGTTAGATGTTAGAATAATACAATGAAAAGATTATTAATTATATTGAATGTTGAAACCTAATCTGTAACACAGAAATATCTTATGGACTTTTCACAAAAAAAGAATGTTGATTTCAGCACAGCTACAGGGGAGTGGGAAAGCACGCTGGTTTGCTGGTTGATTTCAGCCAATGCTGGAAAGTAAATACAAACATACCCCATGAAAACTAACTTAACATTTACCTCTGAAGTGGTTTTATTAAAAACAAAACAGTTCACTTGAAGTAGAACTTAGTATGGGGACAAATATTTGTACACTGATTTAATAGATTTTATTGTATCTTATAAATAATTACAGTGAGATTATTAGCTTTGAAGTGTGAGGATTTTTTTTACAGATGAAGCTCTGAACCCATTTCCTACCAGAGCTCTCTATAAGTTGTTTTCATCTGGTCTTCTTTATCTAAACCCAGGAATTATTTCCACAGTACTATTAAGAAGGTATAATATTTCACAGCATAATACATGAGTGCCATCATATTTACTCAGTGGCACAGGAGTAAATTTTACTGGCCCTTAATTTTAGTGATAGATGAGAGAATGAAAAGAGGAAGGACCCTAGACTAGACAATATACAAGGCATGATGAGAAGCTGAAGTCATTCAGCTGAGGAGCTTTTCTGGGGCTGGGAAAATACCAGGTCTGGGAATGAATGGGTATCAATGAGGATCAGAAACAGTGAGATATCAGCATCAGTGCTAGCAGCGAACAGTTGTAGTTTGGCCCTGAAAAAAGTCATGAGAAAATATTTTTCAAAAGCATAAGTGGGTGGAAAGGAAGACTTCAACTTATGAACAATATCTTTGTGTAGAGTTTTTGTAAGCAAAAAACCAGAAATAATCTATATCTATCATTCAGTTCTAATTCACAGACAACAAACCCATAATGCGCCCCCTTATTAGTTCAATGTTTCAGATGAAAAGGGTTAACATTACTCTCTCCTGGGACTAGACGGAAACCTGCAAGCAGAGATGAAAGAAACAGTAGTGCTGCTCTGTGGCCAGTCCTATCCATTTTGGATTGCCTGGCAAGAAGGGCAGTTTTGTAATAGACTGGAAGACATCTTTGAGTCCAGATAACACAATGCAAACTTGTGCAAACAACCAATACCATATATAAAATAAATACATGCACACTGTAGCCTCAGTTTTACTGATCAGAATGACTGAATTATGCAACCCTATGGAATTTGTTATATGATCAAAAACATTGAAGATAATACAACAAGTGGTAACTTTGTTACTATGATCATGAAATGAAGTAGGGAAAATAGAAGGTAATAAGGAGGTGTTTCAGCACAGTGGGAAGATGAATCAAGAACCTTTCCCCTCTGAATCTGTAATTTCATGCTGGACATAATTTTTGGATAAATGACACCTTCCAAAATCACAGGAAAACCAGTTTGACCTTGGTTACAAGGGTATTAAACCCAAAGACAGATAAACTGGCCATTCATAGATGTTTGTTAAAGGTAACAGTACATACATATATGCTGACAAAATACAGAAGGAAATACTGGAGAACAGAGGGAGCTCCCTGAAAGTCCTGCTGCTGGCATTTACCCATTTTCCTAGTGTCTGACTTCTCTGGCAAAAGTGTAAATAAGAACTTGTGCTTTGCTCTCAGATAGACACAGCAAAAGTGTACATTTTCTGCACTGTGGCGAATTAATCTGAGCTGAGTTGGAGGTGTGTCTTGTCTCATTTATTAGGGACCTGTTCATCAATATAACTGTAATAATGGTAGGGAACAGAGAAAACAAGATGGCCAGAAGAAAGTAAAGCAAGAACTGGATCAGGATCTAAATCAGGAGATACCACAAAAAGTGAAGTTTTCCAAACAGGATAACATGATGATAAATAATTTTGCGGGGGACATTAGTTACTGTCTGCACAAACCCAGCAGCAATAGCCTCAGTCAGCTTCTGCGGCTATGTTGGAGTGGTAGACAAATTGGTGTAACCAAAATGTTCATGCATCAGAAGGTTTCTCAGGAAAAAATGAAGACCAGGAAAGCTTCAGCCATCATGGCACTTCTTAGCAGATGTGAGCTGCAGCAAGTACTTGTGGATTATTAAAAAAAACAGCTCCACAGCATCTCAGATGACAAGGGCAATCAGCCCTGTGGAGGAGCCAGCCACAAAATTTGAGCAAGTCAGGACATTTAAAAAGCTCTTCTACCATTTTCTACCAATAGATCGAGCAAGTAGATTGGATCATCCCAGCTCAACTAGTGCTCTGATAACCTTGGTTCTGTTTGTTGCCACTTTCACTCGACATGCTGCATTATACAATTGTTTTAAACAGACTGCTATGAATTAACAGTGTCTTTAAAAATTACTTACCTCTGAGCTTACATCTAGGAAATGGCAATTTCCCCTCCCGGCAGTGTACTCTAAAAGGAGGAAATGCTGGATCCCTCACATACCCAGGTATGCATTCAAATTCTATTACATCTCCAGATGGATAATACAGTTTCTCTCCTGAAGCCCATCTCAGTCTAATATTGTTTTCTGCCATATCCTGCTCAGATGCTGTACAGGGCTCTGAAAACAGGAACATACAATTCAATTGTTTACTCATGGATTTACCATGGGAACTTTCATTTATGCAATCATTATTATAAACCTTTTTACATAGAATATTTTCAGGGAAGATTTGTGCTGGAATAGCTTGAGAGGGTGCGAGACCAGGAAAGATCTTGAGAGAAGCCTTTAAGGGTATACTCACACAAGCAGGGTTATGCGTGTCCAGAAGCACAAATAGTAGTAGCACAAGTTTCTACCTCTACTTTGTGCTGTAGTGTCTGTCCCTGCTCATGTGCTTTGGGGAGGGGAAGGTGGGGAGTGGTTTGGGGCACAGGGTACCTTGACACAGGGTCTCCATGTGCCTCTGTGCCTTTTTTCTGTTTCTTTTTTTTTTTTCTACTGGGAAATCCCATCACATTTTAATATGCAAACTGTGTGGTTTGTGATGCCCCAAAGCAGTTTGCAGAGCCACAAACCACATGTGCCTGCATGTCTGGATCCAGCCTAAGAGCCATGTTGGCATTTGCAGACCTGAACAACTGGGATCAATGAAGTACAATTTGCTTCAGCCACATCTTCTGCAGCAGTAATTGTTAAAAGATAACAGTAGCATAAGGAGCAGTTGGCAATCCAGGCACTGACCCTGGGCACGCCTACTTAGACAGGACACAAGAACAACAGTTACTTCCAGCCCAGTTACTGCTAAAATCCTTTGAAAACTTAAAAAATTACTTATTTACTCACTTAAAACTCACACCTTTTCCTTAAAAATTGTCTTTCCAAAATAGGGGTGAGTCTCCAGTGGAGAAGTTGATTTCCTTTGCCTGAGTGGAAGCACGGAGACTCTGTGCAGTAATGACTGCTGCTTCTCTCTGGACCAGCAAACCCCAGGGTTGGAGTCCAGTTTTCACCCCCACACAGTTGCTGCTGAATTGGCAGCAGCTTTTGGTTCAATGGAGAAGAGTTAACACCGTAGCCTAAAGTAGCCAGTGAGCTAGCTGAGGGTGAATAAACCACTGCATGCCGTAAGTTCTCAGCCTGGATACTGAAAAAGTGGATTTTTCTTCCTGTACATTTCGCCTTCCAAAACTAAGATGAATGCCTTATTGGGGGGATGGGAAGTGATATAAAAAGAAAAATGCAGTAATTTCAGGGTTACTGACTGGAAATGTTGATTATTTATCATTATTACACATTGGCAAAGGGCAGGAGAGGATTGGACTCCAACAACACACTTTGAGGGCCAGAATATGTGCCTCTCATATCCTGTTTTAAATCAAAATGGCAATCTTCACCTGCGGGATTTTCAGATTCAGTGACAGCTGACATGGACCCCACCACTGAAAATTATCACACGACAGAACTCATCAAAAAACATTGTTATTAAATACATTTCGTACCCACCTATGCAAGTTGGAGGATCTGTCCATTGTCCTGAGTTGCATGTAGCATATTGAGATCCCTTCATTATATAGAGATTTTTACATTTGTATGTCACTACTGCATCTCGTTCATAGTATAATAATGGAAAAGTAGTGGTATCTCCATTTTCAATGGTAGGTGGCGGCCCACATCTTCCAGCAGCCTCTGAAATTAAGTATATACATCCAGAAATACATCATAATTTATTTCCAGCAAATGCTGTGAAAACAGAAGTGTTACAGATGACCCCCTACCTATTTACTTTGATAGATCACTACAATCAATTAAAGGGGAGAGTAATCATCCTATTTCAAAACTAAATCCTTATAGCTAAATCACTGAGGTAAAGTATACGTAGCTTTGAATTTAAACTGACAAAATAATATTTCATCACAAAATAAGAAAATGAATGGCCCTAGCATTCTCAACCCCTGATTCAAGTCCATGTTTCAGATGGAGAACGTGTGGTAGTATGCAATCCTTCAGTTCCCAGGCATTGCAGCTGCACTAATTCTACCATCCTGATCTCTAACAACTGACTGTCCAGAAAAGAAAAAAGGAAGGAGGCTTGGACACAACTCATCCGTAAGCATGGCTCTTCTTCCTTATCCCTTTACTTCTTGTTACAGAGGGAACTGCAGTTCTCTACAGTATGTTCCATCCCCGTGGCCAAGTGTTAATGTTGCATGTTTGAGAAAGGAATTTGGTGCACCACATTAGGGTGAATTACGAGCTTAGCGTTGTCTTTAACATGACGGGAACAGAAAGAAAGCACAAAAAATGCAGAGGGGACAGAAAACAGCAAAGAAAAAACAAGAAGCTCAGCAGGAGATGTAACTCTCCTCTCCCACATTTCTGCTCCTCTCTTGTGGCCACCATTCCAGAGAGAGCAGCCCCTGCACTTTGCCTGAACGTCCATAGCTGACTACAGAGAAGGCACCTGACACAACCTCCCTGTCTTCTCTTCTTTTGACCCTGGAATCCGTTTCCCTCCATGGCCTGTAAAATCCTAAGTCTACTCACTTTGAGGACACACTGAAAATCTCACCTAGGCTTTCAGGGAGGGAACGGGCAAGAAGGTAATTGCATTTGCTAGAAGGAGTGCGTGTTTACATCAGCGTGGTTTCTCTATTTTAATGATATAACTGAACTGTAATAATCTGGGACCCACTTAGGACACTTAGGACATACAAATATCAATTCAACTGAAAAAGAAACCCTAAAAACCCAAAACAGCCAAAAACCAGCCAGAATACCTGTATCTTGATATTCTTGAGTTTTGGCATTCTGTGGGTTTTTGGGGTTTTTTTTTTTTTACTTTTGTAATTTACATTTTTAAGATCAGAAGCTCTGTTATGACAGATGGATGCTCTGCAAAACAAGAGAAATCCAAGCAATGCAGGTATGTATAGAGACCCTACAAATGCGAGCATTAGTTTATCTATCATTCTGGCATAGCTCTTTCCACACAAATGGTACTGCCTGGTAATAAGACAGATTCTGCAAACCTTGCCTAGAACCCAGGTGTCCTATGCCCTGGTCAAGTGGCCAAGCCCCTAGGCTATTAGCCTAAGAGGCTGGGAGTGTTCTTCTTTCTCTCAGTTCTAACAGGCATATGTAGAGGGCAATCCTAATTCCCCACAGAAAGAAACAGAATCCTAAACTGTGTAGAAGTGCTACACACACCACAACTTAGGTGGAGGAAGGGTAAATAGGATCTGGCCCAACCTGAACAAGTGTGGCAATATGTAGTTTGCAGCTATATTTGGCTTAATGATCCTCAGTGGAAATCTGTTTCCACTGAACGATGACATTATTAGTGGCACTTTCCTGCGTGGGGATCTTGGAATGTCAGGGAGGAACATATCCCCTAAGCTTTAAAGTACTACAGTATTTTCAACCTTTCCTCAGATGTTGTTCAGGCTGAACTCCCTCTGAATTTCGGTGAAAGCCTGACTGAATAAAAGCGTCATGATATCATAGAATCACAGTCTCAGTAGAGAAGTGGGACTGGAAGGGACCTCCAGAGGTCATTTAGTCCGTAGATGTCATAGACATTAGGGCTGGAAGGGACCTCGTGAGATCATCAGGTCCAACTTCCTGCCCAAGGGGCAGAAAGTCAGCTGCGGTCAAATCATCCCAGCAAGGAGCATCCAAGTGTTTCTTAAAGGTATCCAGAGTAGCTGCTTCCACCACTTCTAAGGGGGAGTCTATTCCAGACTTTGGAGACTTGAACAGTAAAGAAGTTTTTCCTTATGTCCAATCTAAAATGGTCTTCCAGCAGTTTGTGACCATTAGACCTTGTCTTCTCTTCGGGTGACCTGGTGAACAGACATGCTCCCAGTTCCTGGTGCAAATCCCTTACATACTTATAGGCTGTCACCAAGTGCTCCCTGGGACTTTGCTTGTCCAAGCTGAAGAGTTCCATGCCTCTCAGCTTCTCAGAAGGCCTGTTCTTTTGAACTCTAATCATGTGTGTGACTCTCCTCTGGACTCTCTCAGGATTCTCTACATCCTTTCTAAAGTGTGGAGCCCAGAACTGAATGCAGTGCTCCAGCTGTGGCCTTACCAAGGCTGAGTAAAGCAGGAGGATGACTTCTTGGGTTGTGCTTGAGATGCATTGGTATTTGCTTTGCCAGCTCTGGCATTGAATTGGTGGCTCATGTTCATCTTGTGGTCAATCATGACCCCAAGTCTCTTTTGGTTGTGGTGTTAGTGAGTGTAGCACTGCCGAGCCTATAAATATGATGTGGGTTTTTTCTCCCAAGGTGAAAACTTTGAAAAAAGTTGCATTTCTCAGTGTTGAATGTCATCACGTTTTGATCCACCCACCTTATGAGCCTGTCCAGATCAGCCTGAATTGAAGCCTATCCTCTAGTGCAGTGGTCACCAACCAGTGGATCTCGATCCACCAGTAGATCTCGGAGCCTCTGGAGTCAATTTTAGTCTGGGGTGGGGAGCTGAGTGTTTGCATGCATGCAAATGTGTGCCCCAGCCCAGCAGGCCAGTCTGTGGGGGAGGGAATGGGCGGTGGCTAGATGAAGGCCCCTGTGGTGAGAGAGAGAGTGCAGCAGAGACAGGAGCAGGGATAAGTTGAATGGGGACCCAGTTGGGTGGGGCTTACCTTCTGGGAAGGTGCGACCCCAAATAATTTTTTCTCCCTCTGCCTTGATCTCCCCCCACCCCTTTCCCTTCCTACAGACTTACCTGCTGGGCAGGCAGGAGCAGGGTGGTGGTGGTGCATGGTAGATCTTGGGTTGCTTTTCAATGCTAAAGGTAATTTCCTACATTAAAGATTGGAGGCCACTACTCTAGTGTGACTGCACTTCTCCATAATTTGGTGTCATCTGCGAATTTAGCCAGTCTGCTTCTGACACCTAAGTCCACATCATTTATGAATACATTAAAGAGTGCTGGTCTGAGAACTGAGCCCTGGGGGATGCCACTAGTCACCATGCACCATGTTGACTTGGTTCCATCGACTATCACTCTCTGGGTCTGAGCATGGAGTCAGTTCCCCAGCCATCGGACCATATGGTTATTGAGGCCGCAGTTCCCCAATTTTACCATGAGGATATCATGGGAGAACAAGTCAAAAGCTTTTTTGAAATCTAAATATATAACATCAACCTCTTGTCTTTTGTCCAGGTGACACATCACCTGGTCAGAGAAGGAAATGAGGTTGGTCAGGGAAGACTTAATTGCAACAAAGTCATGTTGGCTATCTCTCACAGTGCTGCCTTCCATTAGCCTGTTGTTGATGGTTTCTATGATGATTTTTTCCAGGATCTTTCCAGGGATTGAGGTCAAACTGACTGGCCTGTAGTTCCCTGAATCTTTTTTCCTTCCTTTCTTGAAGATCACATTGTCCCTCTTCCAATCTTGATGAACCTCTCCCAAGCACCATGAGTTCTCAGATAGACTTGCCATTGGTCATGTTATGATGTCAGCCAACTTTTTTAACACTCTTGGATGCATTCCATCTGTGCCAGCTGATGTGTGGATGTCCAGCCTCTCAAATTGTTACCTCACAAGATCTTTGACAATGATAAGCATATGATCACCCTTACCCTGGTAGTCCTGTGTCCTGTCAGGCAGGGTGATACCCTTGAGCTGGTGGAAAACCAATGAAAAGTAATCGTTGGGGAGATTGCCTTTCTCCTGTGTGCTGGTTGTTCCAAATGGTTCAGCAAGGGTCCACTGTTGTCCTTGTTTGTTTTTTTTTTCTGACTTCCCATGTATTTGAAGGACTTTTTAATTGTTCTTGATTCCCATAGTCAGTTTGAGTTCGGTTTCAGCCTTGGCTTTTCTGGTCCAAACCCTACAGGTGCAGGCCAGTGCTACATAATCCTCCTTAGTGGTAGCTCCCAACTTCCATCCCTTATAAGTTTCCCTTTTCAGATTCAGGAGGTCCATGAGTTCCCTATTGAGCCAAGGGGATCTCCCAGCCCTTTTGCTATCTTTCATATGGGCTGGAAGGGACTTCGCTTGTGCTTTAGGATCATGTCCTTAAGGAGTGACCACTCATCATAGATTCTGCTCCCTGTCAGATCATGGTTTCTCAGGGCTCCAACAACCAACCTCTTGAGCTTGTGAAAGTCAGCTTTCCTAAAGTCAAGGATTTTGGACAGATTTGCCAGCTTTGTGATGGATGGAGAAAGTGATCAAGTCATGATCACTGTCACCAAACTTCCCTTCGATCCTCAGGTCGTTGATAAGATTATCCCCTTTGGCTAGTACCAGATACAGCAGTGCTTGACCTCTTGTTGGCCCATAGACTTCTTGAGTCAAATAGAGCTCATCGATGCACATGAGAAAGCTTTGCGACTGATCAGATATGTCTGAATGCTCTTCCCATGAGATGTCAGGGTGGTTGAAGTTGCCCATGCACCAAGAGTGTGCAGCCTCTATTAGTTCCCTAGAGAATTCATGGTCAAGATCCTTCCTCCTAGGTAGGAGGTTTGTAATGGGCTCCTACAGCTATATCCCCTTCACCACATTCTTCCTGTATTCTAACCAAGAAGGTCTCAAGTTGCCCTCATTGGGTGCCAATCTCTGTTTATAGGAAAATGTACTGCTCCTGTACATACACAGCTACACCCCTGCCCTTCCTTGCAACACGATCCCTCCTGCACAAGGTATAGCCATCAATACCTGTGGTCCAGTCATAGATGGAGTCCCAGCAGGTCTCCATTATCCCTATGAGATCATATTCATTTTTGCTTAGCAGATGGGCCAGTTCCTCCTGTTTTTCCCCATGCTCCTGGCATTTGTGTACAGGCAGCTAAGCCTGCCATCAGAATCCTTGGGCTTCCCTGTCCTCTTAGAAGAGTCCCATCCATGAGATGGGGAAGGAGTGAGTTTCCTTGTGTTAGCTGACCTACTGATTCTCTGGTTGTCACTTCCACCATGCACCATGCTGACTTGGTTCCATCAACTATCACTCTCTGGGTCTGACCATGAGGACTGTGATCGAAGAAGCCAAAGCCTACATGGTGGCACAAATCCTGCCATCTTCTGTTGACTTCTTCAATATATCTCTCCCTCCTGTGCCTGTGACCTGTAACCAGAACGATTGAGGAGAAAACTACCTGTGCCCTCTGAGCCCAGCCCCCAGAGCCATGTAGTCACTCATGACCTAACCAGGATTCCTCCAAACCATGGCATTCATGCCCACATGAATGACGAGCATGGGGTAGTGGTCAGAGGGCCAAACAAGTTTAGGAATCCTCTCTGCCACATCCCAGATAGGGGTCCCTGGGAGGCAGAAGACCTCATGGGCCAGGGGGCAGGGCAACAGATCACACCCTCTGTCCAACCCCCTGCCTGAGCCCTATCTGGCCCATCCTATACAAATCCATAATCTAAACTCTTTGTAAAACTGCTATCAACACTGACACAACACATAACACCCAAACCTGTCAGAGGTAAAGCAGGGGGAACCATAGCAGTCAATATCCAACTTCTATAAAGGTTTTTAGTAAAAAGATCAAGAGATCCCAAATAGAGGGGTACACCCCTCCCACGCTCCGAAGGAAGGCAAAACCCCCACAATCCATACAAATGTAACCATTGTGTAAATATCTTCCTGACCCCAAATATGATGAATGGTACTGTCCTGAGAAGAGGGGAAAGACCCTCTAGCCAAGAACCTCCAGCCTTTATGCTCAGCTGGATCACTGGCAAATGCCGCAGCACCAGTCAAAAGCCGCAGCCACAGCAGCAGCCAACACCTAATGCCTCTGGGAAAGGCTGAAAAGGACCCTTACATGTCTACCAGAAAGCCAGGGGTAGGGGTGGTAACCAGCAAAGCCCAGAAGCATGGGAAAACCCATAGTAGAACACAGGCTTATATCATCCCCAACCAGTGCCTATCCAATCTTTTGAACACTTCTAGTGATGAAGAGTCCCCAACTTCCCACAGCAGTCTATGCTACTGCCTCCCTTTTCTAACAGGATTTTTTTTTCCTGATATCCAATCTAAACCTACTCTGGTACAACTTCAAGCCACTAGGCCATGTCCTACTTCCTGCAGCAAGAGAGAAAATGTGTTCTCCTTTTTTATGGCAGCCCTTCAAGTGTTTGGTGACTGCTATCATGTCTCCACTTCAGCACCTTTTTCTGAAGCTGAACATGCCTAGCTCCTTCAGCCTCTCCTCATCTGACTTGTTTGCCAGGCCTTCTATCATCTTGATTGCCCACCTCTGGGCCCTCACTGATTTCTCCATGTCCTTTTTAAAATGTGGGGCCTAAAACTGCACACCGTACTTCAGATGAGGCCCAACCAATCCTCAGTAAAGAGACACTATCACTACCCATGTCTTTCACTTAATGCTTCTATTGATGCATCCCAAAATGACATATGCCTGTTGTTCAGCTGCATCACACTACAGAACCATATTAAATCTGTGATCTAGGCTCTGAGATCCTTTTCCATGGAGCCTATTGTCTATTCAGGTAACACCCAGGTTGTATTTGTGGGGTTTTTTTATTCTTCCTGACGAGTAGCACACTGCCTTTGTCTGCATTAAACTTCACAGTCATATGGGTCAATGTGAGGTCTTTCCCTCTAGTACACTCCTCTTCAATCTAACACTGAGAATACAGTAGAATTCGAAGACTTTAAACATCACTTACAAGCATGGAAAACCAACTACCTGAAGCCTGTGGATGATAACAAAACAGAGATATGGTGAAGTAAATGTGATTGAGGGAGATGCTTTTTTAATTCCAACAATATCCCCACTACCAGGCAATTTTAAAAAAAGGAAAATAAAATACCGTTGCATTCTGGTGTTCCTGGTGGTGACCAATTTCCTTCCTTACATACTATTCTTGCAGGTCCGGTTAGGGTCTGACCTTGCCAGCACCGATAATGAATGATCTCTCCAGGAAAATACCGTTCCCTCTCTCTTTCTGCAATCCAGCCATTAGCAATATCAGGTGGAGAGCCACATGTCATGTCTGAAAAGAGATTCAGGGACCCTTACAAACACTGAAACACATACAAAAAGAACCTCAATTTAAATGGGCAATTTATGGTATGAAAGGTGTGAAAATCCTCTTCAGGCTTTCATTCATTTAACCAATCCTACCTATCAGAAGGCTTTTCATTGCAGAGGGGCAACACAACTATCCACTGTGAAATTCCTTGAGTTAGAATGCAATGCAAAGGCAAAATAATGATGGCTACATCTATATATCAGTAGGAGTTTAGGATAATAAATGATAATTCCCAAAGCAAAGCTTACACTGTTACAGAATGTGCGTGTTACATAGTCTTAGGGAGCTTAGGTTTTCATAGATGTAACAGATAACACGACTTAAAACATGTAACATCAAGGTTTCTCTTTTGTAGCATGAAGGTGACTTAGGCCTGTCAACTGAGATCAGATTCTTCATGGAAACTTAAGCTGATTGAAATAAGAATAAAATGTGAGTGTGACAACTCTCCAGAACTAGGGAGAGTTAGACTTGGACAAATCAAGGTAACATTCTCCTATTTTCCAGGTTCTATGCTCACTTTTAGTATACTTGCAGCTTTTCTCCAATTAAGCCAAGTAGTCGTTCTCCCCACAGTAGTTTGTACCATCTCACATGTAGCTACTCGGTATGCTTTCTGACCTCTGCTGTTTTCGATTTCTGACAACCGTATGTCACCTCCCACCTTAAAGTCTGGTGTACAACCAGATACCGCCTTTTTCTATGTTTGTCCTAGATTGTCCAGGGAAAACACTTGGTTCTATGAGACGCAAGCCTATCCTTCATTTTTCTACAATTACCAAACTGGATAACAGTAAGGCTGACTCTCAGCCACTGAACACATGCACAGATCCTAGACGTCTTTATGGCCTTCTGTTGCCTGGGAAACATGACACATAATGAAAGACTGAAAGAATTAGGATGATTTAGTATGGGGAAGAAAAGACTGAGAGAAGGTTTGATAACACACTTCAAATATCAGATGGATAAATATAAAAAGGATAGAGAGAGACTTTGTAACTGTAGAGTCCTAACAGCAATGGCTTCAAGAGTCAGCAGAGGAAATTTAGGTTGGAGATGATGAAGGCATTTCTCTCAACAAGGGTAATTAAACATTGAAACAAGCTATCTAGAGAAGCTATGGACTCCCCATCTCAGGAAATTTTCAAGAGCTGAGTTGGACAGAAACCTGTCTTAGATGGTTTAATCAGGAGTTATCCTGCCTTGATCAGTGGTCTGGACTAGATGACTGTAGCAAGTGCCTGGTTCCAGTGGTGGCCGTGATGCCTGCTGGTGGCCATGCTTACTCTGGCTACCTGGGTTCCCTCCCCATTTTTCCCCCACATGCCATGCCTTGATGTAGATATTTAATTGGGAAAGAGAGGCTGCCCAGGGTCCCCACTGCAAGCCCTTGTCTACACAGTCTGTGGTCTCACATAGTTATCACCTTAAGGGCTCGATTTGTGGCCTCTGACCTGCCCTGTAGCCATGCCCGTGCCTCACAGAAGTTACCATTCCATCACACGCTTGTTGGGATGTCGGCCTTCTCACCCTCTGCCCCTTTTCACTTGCTGTAGCTCAGGTCCACTGTGCCCGACTTGGCTTCTGGACACCAGCCTCTGCCTCGCTCCCCTTGGCTTTTATCTCTACCACTCCTGGGCTGTGGGCCCCAGCCCTAGACTCTGCCCCTCTTTGGACTGTGGGGTCTCTAGTCCTATCTCTGACCTTGCTCAGGCTGCAGGTCTCCAACTCTTGCTTTACCTCACCGTGGTGCTGGGCACCCAGCCTTGAGACTTGCCCTCTCAGGATACACAACAGCTTGCACCCTGTTCCAGGGACCTCTCTGGCAATCTAGGACCTCCTTTCATCCCTAAGAGTCCAGACCCCAAACCTCCAGGATAAAGTGTAACAAAACCTAAGCCCACTCACTATAACGTAAACTAGCCCTACCAGGGGTTCAAACCCAGGTCACTGGCTGCTCCACCAGGCTTCCCCCTACCCTGTGCTGTATTCCATGCAAAACGGCGATATCCTGCCTGCATTACTCCCAGGGTCATCCAGGTGTCAGCCAGGGGCTTCCCTATGATCCTGCCCCAGATCTCTTTCTTCAGCACCATCTAGGCCAGACTGACTTCCCAGGTTCAGCCACAGTTTTTATATGCTCCCTAAGCCATGCTCCCTTCTGGTCAGGTGATGCAGCAGCCACACACGGTGGCATTCATTCTGAGCCTAGTGATCTCCCTGCCTTCCCTTTCTGTTGCATAGTTGCTGGTTTCTGGCTACCACTTGGTTATCTGTTGGTTTGATCTTTTACCTGCTAGCCCCCGACTGGCTGCAGATGTGCTCTTTGCCTTGAAGGGTAGCTTACTGTTTAGGCAGCAGCAATTTATAGCTGCATTCCCTCTAACACATGACCCCTGATTAGCTGCTTGGCTCTAGGTGTTGCAGTTTCTTCCTTTAAAGAATTAGGACCTCTAAGCTCCCTGTTGCAATGACCAGTGACTTCTCTTCCAGCCCTACAGCCCTATGGTCCTTTGGCCTGGAAAATCTTCTTAGGATCTGAGCAAGGAAAACAGCAGAACCATGGATGTGTTACATTGCAAATAGCCCAGGCAGCAGTGAGAGGCCTGTAGCAAGGTGAAGGCCCTAAAGCTTGCTTGGTAAATAGGAAAAGGAACATTAACTGCTGCTCAGGAGTTGTCCATGCTGCAGCTTCTTCATATGATCAGTTCTGTCCTGTTAGGGGATGCCAGGATATAGGGGTAAACCTGGCCAAAAACATAGTCAGCTATATAAAGCTTTGCAGGGTCAAAAGAAATTTTGAAGAACCAGGGCTTCCTCACCCTCATTTTCCCATGCATCCCAAGGGAAAGACTCAAGGTCCTCTTCATCACCACCTCCAAGTAGCTTACAGCCCTCAATGTCATTCCAGTCAGCACTCGAATTGTAGAAGATAACTCTATGTCTATGCATTTTTTCAGTTCACTGTTAAGTTCATGCCAGCTGTATTACTGGTGGATGGGAGCGAATCCTCCTTTTACATAATGTTTTTCCTTCCCTTACTCTCGTAACAATGGAGATGACCAAGGTCCACATGCAGAGGCTGCCAGTCCCACCTCTCCTCATGTTCCAAATGCTCCCGTCCCTGGAAGGGCCACCCACTTCATTATATTACAGGGTTGCTGGCAGGCTCAGCAGGTGGGGACAAAAGGAAGCCAGGATTCTTGACAGCAGACTGCTCCTGTGAACTATGATCGTTTTCAATCTGGTCCAGCAACCATGGAGGAGTAGCCTCTCCTAGGAAGCTGATTACTCTGAATGAGGGAATATATGATGTACTGGTCTTTAGGCCAAACTTGGTCCTGATTGTTATAGGCTCCTCCGAAAGCAAGACCAGAGCAGTTGTTCCGTACTCTGTGTTTGCCCACATTGTCTACGTCATTAGAATAGCCCCATTTTCACCTTATCTTTTCTCCTGACAACTCTTGTTTGAATTGTTTCTGAACATCTTTAGGTTGCCCAGACTATTTCTGAGCCTGCAGATAGGTGTTTGGCAATACCAACATTTACTCATTCATCGTGTTGCGGTACAACCATGTGTCCATTTACACAGCCACCAGTGTTTTCTTTCTTAAGTGGTTCTGTTACAATACGGATGCTTTTTGATTATCTCAGCTGCAGTTTGTCCATACAGTGTCTGCAGCATGTCTTCAGTCTTTCACATGCATATTATCTTCATTGCAACTATTCTCCTAATGTCCATGCTGCAATCCCAGCCCCAAATTCCCACAGCCTCTGCCCCTCCTACCACACGTTCCAGTCTCTGCCTCTTCCCTCCCCATCCTCCCCTAGCCTCTGCCTCTTCCCTACAAACCCCCTCGGTCTCTGCTCCTTTTCCACCCCCACCCCCAGAACACAGCATGTAGAAGCTCAGCCTTTGCTTGTCCATGCAGCAGTGCTGCAGCTCCTGGTGGCTGGGCAAATAAAGCAGCAGTGTTGGTGCTGCTGATTGGCCAGGCAGGGAGAGGAATGTCCCTGGGCTCATTGCCCATCAGAGATTCCAGCGATACTGTACCTGACAGTAAGGGAAAGGGAAGAGGTGGGCAGGGGGCAGAAGCTGCAGAGGAGAAGTGGGGGTGCGGGGAGGAGGCTGCTGTGAATCTGACTCTAGCAGCTGCCTGTTCTTCTTTCTGTTCTGTATGCAAATATAAGCCAAGAGGCTTTTCTCCATATGCTGACTGGTGGGGTGCAGGGAAGACCTCGTATTCGAGTAAATATGCCATATAGTCACTGGATTATACTGCAAGAAAGGAATATGGTCCATAACATCTTTGGTCCACATTTCATAGTATCATAGAAAATGAGGGTTAGAATGGACCTTGGAAGGTCATCTAATCTATCCCCCTGCTCAAAGCAGGACCACCCCGAACTAGCTGAAGCTTTGTCTAGTTGGGTCTTAAAAAGCTCCAAGGATGGAGATTCCACAACCTCCCTGGGTAACCTGCTCCAGTGTTTTAATTTAAGTGAAACATTTCTTCCTAATATCTAACCTAAACATCCCTTGCTGCATTTTAACACTCTTCTGCCTTGTTCTGTCATCTGCCACCACTGAGAACAATCTAGCTCCATCCTCTTTGAAAACCTACTTCAGGTAGTTGAAAGCTTCTATTAATTCCCCTCTCAATCTCATCTTCTCTAGACTAAATTAGTCTAGTTCCCTCAGTTTTTCCTCATAAGTCATGTGCCCCAGCCCCCTCACCATTTTTGTTGCCCTCCACTGGATTCTCTCCAACTTGTCTACATCCTTTGGGTAGTCAGGGGCCCAAAACTGAGCACAGTACAGGCAATCCTTGACTTACAACTTTTCAATTTACGACACATGGTACTTATGACCTTTATAAACGTA